TGGGGGGGTCTTTGGGTGTTGGAATCCATGGGGGGGGTGGTTCAGCACCAGCTGCTGGGGAAGTTGGGTGACTTCACGGTGAGTGGTCTAGACCCTGGTTTGGGGTCAAAAAAAGGGCGGTTGGGAGCTCATCAGAAGGTCCAACATCACGTAGTTTACTTGTTTATTTTCTGTGTGTGAGTTGAGGGCGGGTTGGTTGGTGTGGAGCGGAGGGACAGGAGCTGTTGGAGCCGGTGGCTGGTGAAGGGCAGCGATGGGATCCCGCCCGATCCAGGCAGGATTCGGGAGGCATCAGGGAATTGTGTGGGTTACATAAAGGAGGGGTGGCTGCAGCAGCTGGGTTTTGTGTTAGTGAGGTGTAGAGGAGGTGGGTGCCGCAGACAAAGAGGGAGAAACCTGTCTCCTTCTCCTCACTTCCAAACAGAGCTGTGGGATGGAAAGCTGGGTGTCCTTCGGGAGTCAGGGAAGTGCAGGGAAGCAGGGACTGGAAGGTGTCCCGGTGCCTGGAGCAGGTGAAGGGGATTCACCTCCACCCTGGGCCATCAGGTGTGCCCTCAGAATGAGCTGTGCTAGAGCTGGGTCTGCTCTGAGACATCTGCTTGTAAGAACTAACCGTGGCTTTGGAGGGTTTTTCTTTGGGAAATGCCCCCCTTTGGGGTGGTTGGTACCCGTGGGCTTCCTGTGACACCAACCCAGGCACGTCCAACGACGGTGATCCCTGCCAGGAGAAGAGCTGGTGTGTGTTGGAGCACAGGAGTCAGCAGCTTGATCTGTAGTCTGAGACTAAGCAAACTGGAGTTGTTTTAGGTCATTTCTTGGTTTTCTTCTTGTGCTGCCTTTCAGAGACCGGGGTGGCTTCTCAAACCCTCGTCCCCGGGGGGTTCCACAGGTCTGTGTGTCCCTGCCGTGTGGGACATCAGGCAGATGAGCTGGTCCCTGATGGTTTGGCTCCCGGGTCAGCTCCGTGGCCACAAACCAAACTCCTGTGGCTCCCCAGTGCCAGTTATCCCGTTCTGTCCCAGCCGGAAGGTCGGCTCAGTGTGGTCGAGTGGGGTTTGTTGTCCCCAGAGGGTTTCTCCTGCCATCTGTGGCTGTGACACGAAGGGAAATGGCTCTTTTGTGTGCTTGGGGGTTGTGATGGTTCACACAGTCCTGGTGTCCGCACCAGTTTTCCTCCTGTGCCCGTCTCATCCCTGGATTTGGTGTTTAACTGGAGTCGCTTCGTTAATGGGTCTTGGGGAGGTCTATCCCGCTTTGAAGGAGTGGGAATGGCAGCACACCAGGAGTGTGACAGCCCAGAGGGACCATTCCACGGCCAGGAGAGGATCCTGTGGCTCGGGGACACAGAGCTTTGGGAGGTTTGTCCCCTGCTCATCTCACTTCCCCCCGGGGGCCGGCCCAGCCCGAGCCTTCCTGCCCCATTTCCTTATCTGCCAGGGGAGATAAGGGCCCTGCCTCGAGGTTGTCATGCCCTGCAGCTCGTTAGCCTAACGAGGGGAGTGCCTGGCTCCGGGACCTGCTGCTTATCCCTGGACTTGGCTCCAGAGGAACTGAACACTCGTGCCCTTTGGAAAACGCTGACTTTATTGCCGGAGCTGCTCTCGGTGCCGGGGGGTCGTGGCTCTGCCTGCCCCGCCAGGATCGGGGCTGGAGGAGCTCCAGCACTGGAATAATCACCCTGGGAACGCTCTGGGTTGGGTAGGGCTCCCAGGCAGCCTCTTGTCCGCTGGGGAAGTTGTCTTGGATGCCTTGGGGAGGAGGTGGTGGGAGCAGACACTTCCAAAGTCGCTTCCGTGCCTCTCCAGCCTGAAGGATGAGCTCGGGGTGGGGAGGTGGGGTGGTCTGGTTGTCTTGGGTTTGTAGCCCCCAACACGGCTCTGGAAGAGATTCCAAAGGCTCTGGTGAGAGGGCTGGCAGTCCTGGCAGTCCTGCTGTGCCACGGGAAGCAGGGGTGGGTGACCCAAAACCCGTGGAAAGCAGGGTGGAAGTTCGTAATCGTTTGGGGGTTCTTAGCCAGGAAGGGGAGAGTGAGGGGGGAGAAAGGGGCTATAAAATACAGCACCTCTGACAGGAGGTGAAGTGAGGGACCTGCTGTGGTAGATCCAATGTGGTTTCCCCCACATTTCCGAGAAACCAAAGGAATTGAGATCATCTTGGAGTGGTTTGGGTAGGAAGGGCCTTGAAGCTCATCCAGTTCCGTCCCCTGCCATGGGCAGGGACTCCTTCCAGGTTGCTCCAAGCCCTGTCCAGCCTGGCCTTGGTGCAGGGGTCTAGTAGGTGAACTTGGAGGTGGGGAAGCCTGCTCAGGTATCCCTGAAATTCCTGAAGTGGTTCAGCCAGGGAGCAGCAGTCTTTCCCAGTTGTAGCATCCTGGTGTCTCTGGCCAGTGGGTGTCTGTCAGTTCTTCCCACCCGGTGCCAGGGGTTTTATCTTCCTCCCCTCTGGGTTTCCCAACACGGTGTCAGGAGGAGTGAAATTGGGAAGGGAACAGAACTGAAAGGAAATACAACTCCAGTCCCCGGTGAGGAGCACACAGGGACAAAGCTGGAGAGAGCTGTGCCTTAAAAAAAAAACCCAACAAACATTTGTCTCAGATTTACCCACCTAAGTTTGTGTTTTAAGATAAATCCCCGGGATTCAGAGGAGTGGAAGAGCCAGCCCTTGCTCTCGGTGCCCCGTTATCATCTGCTGCTGGGTCCTGCCAAGGGGCCCTCCGTGGAAATCCCGGGACAAACGGGCCATTGTGCCACTCAACACGTTGGCATTTGGGGTTTGTGAAAGTGAAACTCAGCTCAGGGCTCAGCTCGAGTTCCTGGGCCATAAATCCCCCCCCCAGCGAACCCAAAACGTTTATTTAAAATGTCCTTTGTGTTGTGCAATCCTGCTGCTCTCCTCCTTCCTGCTGCTCCCCAAGAGCACCTGAAAAGCCACCAATTAGTTAAAAAAAACCCCAAACAAACCAACTAAAAGCGGTCCCGGTGCCGAATCTGTTTGATTCAGTTAATTCTTGCTGTTGGGTGCTGAGGGGATGTTTAATCTCCTCCTTTTAATCTCCCTTTGAAGGGGTGGAGGGGCCGGATTTCTCCTGGGAGGGAGCTGTGAATTCAGCTGATGGCTCCAACTCGGAGTTCTCTCCCTGAGTCCTGGGTTCAGTTTTTGTGGGATGGGTGGGCAGGGATTGGCTGTGACGTTAAGGACCAAAAAAAAAAAAAGGGAGGAAATTCGGGCACGGTGTTAATGCCGAGGCACAAAACAGGAAATTTAGTTAAGGGTTGTGCTTTTTCATAATTTATTGCGTGTTTTTTCCCCACTTCTAACAGGCAAGGTGAAGTTTTAAAGTAGTTTTGTTGTACTTCAGCCTGTGTTGGGTCTGTCCCGCTGAAAATATTTCTGAATTTGTGCTTAAAGGTGGGTTTTTAGTGGGTTTGTGAGAAACTGTGAAAGCTGAGAAACCTCAATTGCTCCTGCTTTGTCCTGTTTTCATTCCACAGAAAAAAAGAGGGGGGGAAAAAAAACTATAAACCAACCACATAAGAGTGATTTTAAAAATATCTCGCTCCTAATGGGAACGTGGGAGCAGGAAAAGGGGCCCTGGCCTGGTGCCAGGGGTGGGGGCTGTGGGTCTGGGGGTGCTGGAAGGACCTTCCCCCCCCTCCTCTGACACCTCCCAGTCCCCCTCAGGGAGCTGCCACCTCCCCTCAGCTCCAGGGATTGACATTCCCCCAGCGTTCTCCAGAAAGCTTTTTGTTTCATTCCCAACTTGTCCCCTTCGGAGGGGAAAAAAAAAAAGGGATCTATTTTTAAATCTATAGAATAGTTTGGGTTGGGTTTTTTTGTTGTGTTTTTTGTTGTTTTTTTTTTTTTTTTAGCCCTGAAGGCATTTTGTCCATTTCTGCCTCATCTGCTGTTAGAAAAATGCACGAGATCCCCTCGTGGGGTTTAACCCTTGGCAGCTCGTCCCGGGCTCGGGATCTGCACCAGGATTTCTCTGGACGTGCTGCTGAAGCTGCTCCTGGGAGGCTCCTCGTGGGTATTTTCGTTTCCTCCACTCTGAGGGTCACTTCTCTTTTTTTTCTCTTTTTTTTTTGTGCTGGCAAGGGCTCAGTGTTTATGCTCCATAAACTGTGACGTGTCCCGGCTCCTCCTCCCGCCCTGGCTGGGAATTGTGTGCAATTCCCAAACACCAAGGTTGGGAATTAAGTGTTAACAGTGCAGCTTTTCTGTTGGAAAGGGGAAAAAAGGGCCTGAGGGGCTCTTTCTTTCCTTTTGGACCTTTAGCTGAGGCTGAGAGCTGTGACCATTGTGCTTCCAGCACTGGAGCTGTCGGGAAGTGGGATCTCAGCGGTTCTGGCCACGTGTGTGTCTGGGCAGGGAGCTCCAGGTAACGTGTTCCCAGTGATCCACAGGGTCTGGCAGCGCTTCCAGGGAGCTTCACACTCCTTGTGTCTTGGGCAAAGTGTTGGGAACCATTTTTCCTGCGAGCCAGGAGCACATCCCAGGGAATTCCGCCGGTGTCAGGCGGGTTTGGGGGCAGCTGGTCCCAGTTAATCGTCGACATTCCCGTCCTGTGGGTTGTGTTGGTCCTGATCCGTTGGCTTCCATCCCCCTGAGACACTGCCTGGGGCACATGGAGTGGCAGTGGTTGGTGTGGTCCCCTGGCAGGATGTGGAAGGGGGGTTTGGGGAGTGGGTGTGAAGCTGCTCCGTGGGAAGGGAACTCTTTTGGTGCCGAGGCACCGGAATCGTCCCTCAGAAATGGGGGAATATTCAGGGAACCAAATTCTTCATCGTGAACTGACCCCTCTCCGTGTTTTTCCTGCCCATTTAAATCCCTGTGCTGCTTTGCCTGCAAGTGCCAGGTGTTCCCTGGAAGTGCTCAAGGCCAGGTTGGACAGGGCTTGGAGCAGCCTGGGCTGGTGGGAGGTGTCCCTGCCCACGGCAGGGGGTGGCACTGGATGGGCTTTAAGGTCCTTCCAACCCAAACCGTTCCATGATCTTCCAGACCACGAGTGTCTGTCCATCAGCAGAAACAGCTGGACATGGCACTCAGTGCCCTGGGCTGGGTGACAAGGTGGGGAT